GTTTTTTGTATTATATTTTTATATAATTTTAGGATTATTTAAATAATTAAATAATTAATTTATTTAAACAATCATAATATTAAATATATTTATGACATATAAAAATTATAAAAATAAATAAATAAAAGGAGAATCTTATCTCATCACCCGATTGCATTAGTTAGTTAGAAGTTGGGTGGTGTTATAGACATAATATTTTAATATTATTTTTACATATTATTAAATAAATTGATATATTTAATATCATAAATTTTATTTAAATTAAAAAAATTAATTATTTTAATTATATATCAGATTATACAAAAAAATGACACAAAAAATTATACAAAATCATTTCCCTTATCAGTTACATCATAAAAAATGAGCTGGCAGCAAAATAATAGCACATCATTTAATGAATTCCACGTAAGCAACTAACTAACGGAAGCTAACGGACACGTGTGAGTCACGTGACTTCACAGCTAAATTTTGGGTTTTTCACTTGTTTAGAAAATTGCAGGTGTTGATTGGGAAAAATATATATATATATATCAGAGAGCCTTGACGATAAAAATATAGATTAGCCATCTCTCCCACTACAAACACTACCTTCTACCTTTCAAACACATGACCAAAAACTCTTCTTCTCATATGCAAAACTCCATTACGATGCTACCTTATTAAGTCACAACCCCATATTTCTCTCCCTCTGTATTTCAGTTTCAAAAATAACGATAATTTCCTGGGCCTGCTGCGCAGGTACACTTTTGCAGCTGCTGCTGCTGCTACAACATATGTGTACGCACACACAAAACAAACAAGAAGTAACGAAAACACGCAGGGGGAGTGATCGAGTGTGTGTTGGTGGGTATGCATTATGCACAGCTCAGCACAAACTACCACCAGCCTGTCCTTTCCACCTCCTCATACGAAAATCACCCACCCATTTTTTCAGTACTTCCCCACTCTCCTCCATTCTTCATTGTCTTTCGTCACTCTTCCCCGCCGCAAACGGTGGCCCCGTATGGACTCTAATCCCTCCATCACCATTGCCCCCCTCCAAAAGGACAAGCTTGTCGTCATCATGGGCGCCACCGGCACTGGAAAGTCCCGCCTTTCTCTTGACTTGGCCACTGGACACTTCCCTCATTCCCAAGTCATCAACTCCGATAAAATGCAAGTTTACAGAGGTCTCGATATCACCACCAATAAACTATCTCTCCATGAGCAACGCGGCGTCCATCATCACGTGCTTGGCGAGTTCGACTCAATAGACTTGGATTTCACCCCTTCCCAGTTCCGCGCCGCTGCTGGGTTAACAATCTCCAACATTGTTTCCCACGGAAACCTGCCTCTGCTTGTTGGGGGCTCCAATTCGTTTATTCATGCTCTGCTTGCAGAGCAGTTTGACCCGATGGATGATGTGTTTTCCGGTTCGAGCTCGGTAAGCCGGGAGCTGAGGTACGATTGTTTATTTCTCTGGGTCGACGTCGCATGGCCGGTTCTGTGCGATTATCTCTGTAAGCGAGTCGATGATATGCTTGACTCCGGCATGTTCGAAGAGCTGGCTCGGTTTTACGACCCCGCGAAGGAAGGATATCGGGTCGGAATAAGGAAAGCAATCGGAGTGCCCGAATTCGATCGGTATTTTCAGAGGTACCCGCCGTGGGAGAAGGAAGAAAACGGCGGCATTCCAGATGAGGGAAGTGATCCAGCACGGAAGGAAGCATACGAGGAGGCTGTAAGGGAGATTAAGGACAACACGTGTCGGCTAGCGAAAAGGCAGATAGGGAAGATCCTACGGCTAAGAGGGGCAGGATGGGACATACGGAAAGTGGACGCGACGGCGTCGTTTAGGGCTGTGATGGCATCGGATTCAAGGGAAAAAAAAGACTGGAGGGATAGATGGGAAAGGGAAGTGATGGAGCCAAGCGTGGAGATTGTGAAGCGTTTCCTGGAGTAGGTTTTCCAGCCGTTTCTTTCTACCCCAATGCCATTTTGGGTCACTATCTCATTCTCAAAAACCACACATCTTTTATCAGGGAGAGAGTGATGGCTCCGCCACAGAGCTAAAAAGGCAACCCATTTACGGCGGACCGCCGACCGCAAAAATTACTGTTTGTCTTTTCTGTATATAATCTGTATTGACCTTCAACGGCGGACGGCAGGCCCCGTGGCTGGATCGATGCTGGGATTAGACTTTAGAGGACATGGGATCTTGTTTGGGGGGAGGAATGGGTTGAAGGTCAATACAGATTATATACAGAAAAGATAAACAGTAATTTTTTCGCAGAGTAGACAAATTTTGTGATATTAGAGCATGTTTCTTAAGTACTTCACTTAATTTCCTCTGCAGTATTGGGCTTTAGGGGTATTTATCGTTCACTTCTGGGACCTGAAACCTTGAAGAATCTTTTCCATTTTTCGATTATGTATGGAAAGATAGAAACAAAATTACCACAATTTTAGGTATTCACTTAATTTTGTTAGGCCTAGGTGCTTTTCTTCTAGTATTCAAGGCTCTTTATTTTGGAGCTGTATATGATACCTGGGCTCCAGGGGGGGGAGATGTAAGAAAAATTACCAACTTGACTCTTAGTCCACCTGTTATATTTGATTATTTACTAAAATCTCTTTTTGGAAGAGAAGGATGAATTGTGAGTGTGGATGATTTAGAAGATATAATTGGGGTATGTATGGTTAGGTTTCATTTGTATTTTTGTAAGTTTTTCATTATTTTAATTTTTTGATACTATTTATATTCTATAAATTAAACTTTTTTTAAAATTTATATTTTTAAATTTTTTTAATTTTAAAGAGACTTTAAACAATAAAAAGTCAAGATTTTCAAATCCAAATATTTTATAAACTTCATTTTTATTCTCTTTTTATTCACTCTTTTCTATTTTTAAAAGTAATTTTTAAATTTTTTTTCTAATAAAAACTTAAACTTATTACTCATAAATAATACAAAAAAATAAAAATTCTTACAAACTAACCCAAACATGCTTTAATTTCTTTCAATTTTTCCTCTTCGTCCTTTTTTTATTTTTTTTTCTCCTCTTTGAATGAAGAATATCATTTTGGTGTTCAAAATAAAAAAGAAACAAATGTGGATTGTAAAGTGCACCGGCCTTAGGAGGCGAATTGACGATAAAGTTTAAGGAAGGTGCATCCTAGATTTTAGGTCTTAGCTTTGAATTTCTTCTCTTTAAATTTGTATCTGTTTTTAAAAAATGTAAACTATAATATAATAATATTATAATTTTAATTTTAATTATTATCATAATATTAAATGCATTTTCATCTAACAATCGGTGCACGAGACTCGAAACAAAAGTTGCGTTTTTCATGTTGATAGAAAAAAAAGTTGCGTTTTTCATTTTGGTCTTCTTGCTTCGGAGACATGATATGTAATGCGACCATTTGTCCTTTTTTCGTTTTTTATCTTTTTATAATTAAAAATGAGAAGAAATTACATTTATCAAATTTCAAGCCCACCACGTCCTTGTTACTAAAACAAAATTTCCAAAAATTTGTAGTTTATACATAAATTGTTGTATAAAAAATCTTGGTCTGGACTGTAGAAATTAATTTCCATGGTATCCTAACTTACATTATTCAAGGTCGGTTGAAAAAGTTTAAAAAACTACTACAATTTATTTTCTCAATACATATCACTCAGCACATATTAATTGTTTTCAATATTATTCTTAAATGAAGAAAGTGATTTGTAATTTTAATTGTGGAGAGTACAAAATATTAATGATTAAATTTGAGAGAGTCCTGATAATGGATAAGTCTTTCCTTTTTTTGTTTAACGTGGATTGCAAAACACTGAACTCATGCTTGAATTCCCTGAACATCTTATTGGCCAAAAGATAGAGAAAGCTATATATATATATCCCATATTGTAAAAAACATTTGATCTGGTTAGAAACTAATGCTTTTTTTTGTTTTTTATTCTTATTTTTATGAATTAGTCGTAATCGATCTTCCCCAAACAAAGTGACTGGGAGAGCGAATGCAACTTAAACAAATGCAACCTGATAGATTTTGATACATACTTAGAGAGTTTTTTATTTGCTTCTTAAATGAAATAATAGTCATCTGATAGCCTTAAACTATTTCCATGGGAATCTGTTATGCTTCTCCTTTTCTTGATAAGATTAGAACCGAAATCAAATTGCCAATGAGGAATTAGTTTAAGCCCATAAGGACTTGCTGACTTGCATGCACCCTATATACATCAGAAAGAACCCAACTCAAATCCTACTCATCAATTTCATTTTCCTCCATCATCACTTGAAAGATCAAGAAAAAAAGATTTTCCAGTTTGTTGCAGGGATTTCATGTGCAAGTGCTCATGGTTGTCCTGTATCATATCCATAGTAATGTTATGGCTTGTTATGGCTATGTGTGTGTGTGGATAACAAGGATGGTTTTTTGTTGTGAGAATTGAAGGCTGTTCCTGTTCTTTATCTTGTCTGCATCAGAATAAGTGCAGCCATTAGATTTTGGGGACTAAGACCTAGTCAATTCTGGGACTTGAATGACTTCTGTACTTCAAAATATTGAAGCAATGAAATGTCTATTCCGTGACAGAGTTAGAGACTGCTGCAACTGCACTGAATTTTATCAATTTTATGGACTGAAATTAAAACAATAAGCAAAGGGTTACATTACTTTTACTAATTTGATTTCAGATTACAGTTTCAACTTCATGACTTCTTCTGACGACAAAACATTTTCTTGTTTCCAGCAGAGAAGGTGAAGGCTATACAGCTGCTTGGATTGGGATAATTATAGTTATATTGTTCTGATGCACCACCAAATACTGCATCAAGGTACTATTTTAAAGGTTTTCTATATCACCATCTACATTCTAAAGGAAATCATCTCTAGCAGTATGTATGGATCGCCTGTAGATGCGAATAACTGATGAACTATCATATTGGTTGGCAGCTTGAATTATACAGATTCAAACTGTTAAAAATACTGTTTAATTTTACTATAATTATAAAAATTGATCTGGTATTGGAGGGACCTGAGTTGGATGAAGGTTTGATGCTTGAAATTGTGGACAAAAATTGACAAGATTTGGCATTGCTTGTAGAGCTGTCATAAGGACCATTTTTTCTGTATCAAACGTGAAAATTTTTTTAGGTAGGACAGCTGTCTTAGGGACAACACATCCTCAAGGAACTTCAAATTTTGCCTAATTTTTTTTGAAAATTTAAGGGGACCAATACATAACTACAAGTTCTACAGATTTCCATCGTATTCAATGCAATGTGTTTAGTTTTCTGATGACATGATGATCGTTTTGTTCAGAAAGGGGTCTTAATGATAGGTAGAGAAAGTTTGGATTTAGGAGCCAACAGTGTGACTGTCTCTGGCATCCAGCTAGTTTGGCGAAAAAAATGAATGGTTCAGTCTCTATAAGCTAGAAAAAGGATATAGAGAAATGAACTTTTGTGCAGAAAATAGTACTCCCCATCAACCACCGCATTAACTTGTTGAAGTGCTAACCCAAATTTCTAATTAGGTAAAAAGATGTTTTGATTAATATTTCTCGATCTCTTGGCCTAACACTTAGAATTATGACTTTGATCTCCTAACGATCAAAAACCCTGGTCATAAGGTGATGAGATTCAAAACTCTTAATGATGTACAAGTTGGTTCCATGTGCATGGAAGTTGAAGAAAGATGGGACACCTGAGACCATGGAAGAGGTTTTGGGAATTTGAGATGTTCAGAGTTCTTGTAACTGAAGAAAAATAGGCATGCCTATTATGATTACCCTGTTTTTGTGCTTTAGCTTAAGAGGCATGGAGCAAATGAAGAACATGATGATCAAAGACAACGAGTACATAATCAATTATTTTACTAGGAGTTAGAAGTTATTATGAAGTTCAAACTTATACTATTGGAATGAATTAAAAATGAAGAAAGAGTATTCCATATAGAATGTTGTGGCCCCACTTTTTGCAGCTAATGCCTAGTGGTATTAGCTAAGTTGATCAGATGGGCTTGCTTGAAAAATTGAAACTGAAATGGGCACGCTGGCTGGCTCTTAGTGCTGGTATAAGTGAAGCTGTCCTAAGAATGGTTCTTGAAAAACGAAAAGAGCAATAAGAGTTCCACAGAGAAAGTGTGTGAAACAAAGAAAATGCAAAATCAGTGGCAGAAAGGGAGTGGTGGAAACGGGAGATCCAATGGAAGAAAGACAATATCATCGAGAAAAGGGTGACTCAGTCCATTAGCACCCAAACCAAACATTGATTTGAATATGCAGTATATGTTGGGAGAAGCATGAATGAGCCTCTGCGCTCTGCAATGAATCAGTGCGCGTGCGGCTTCTTTTGCGCATGATCCTATAACCTTTTGCTACTCCGTTCCCCTATCCATATATTTTAATTTACTCGAGAAGACACCATCAAGGTTTTAGACCTCTAGTGTTACTCCTCAGTCCTCTCTCATCAACAAAAACAGGGGTTTGAAGCCAAGTCTCAGAGACTACCACTGACTATTTTACAAGCACAATGATAACAATTTGGATTTTGCAAAAAAACCACATAAATCACATGCTGCACTTCTTTGTTGACTAAGTTTTGGACCAAATGCATAAAAATTATTACCTCTTGCGGTCTCCTTAGGAATTCAAACCAGCTAAATTTTGACCATAGCTGTTCAGTTCAGTTTCAAGGAAACCACCCAGAGACAACAAATGATCCAGAGTACATAATGGAAAAGTGCTAAGACCAAGCCTGTTTTAGGTCCCAGCGAAGGGGCCCATACCCTACACGTGACTTTCAAGTTTGCAAGCCTGTGTTGTGGACCTTTATGGGCTCACTGAAACCTTGAGCTTAACCTTTAATGATTGATTACTTTTATGGATTGGGCTCCGTTTTTTTAGGAAAAAAAAAAAAACAAAAGATTATTACGGACGGTGGTTGATTTTTACCAGAATCAGATTTGGAGCATGCAAATAGTCATATCAACTCTCCCGGACGTTTATAATATATGTCTGGTTCGAGAGGAGGAAAGAAGAGAAAAATCGTTTATTTGGTTATATGAAAATTAGAGGGGAGGGAAGCTATTTATATTATTTTTTTGTTTTTTTATTTATTCAAATAAAAAAGAAGAAAGGGTAAAAAATAAAGAGATATCACATCTTTCCATTCACCTTCCTTTTCTTTCTCTTTCTTTTATTTTATTCAAACAAAACGTGATATTATGACTCACAATAATCTTGAGCTTAAAAAATTGATTAGTTTTATAGATTAGGCTACGATTGACCATTCTTATTAATGTAAGTGTTGATTATTACGACGATTAGGTTGCTTCGATTCAACTCTTAATATTGAAATGTTGGATTTTGACTTTATGGCATTTTCAGACATCTTATTCTTATCCCGCCTTCTCTTTATACGGTGAAGATGTTGTGTATTCGGCGAGAATTATACATACTTGAATTTTGAATTTTGACCACAAGGAGAGTAATTATGTTTAATGAGGACAAACAAAAACATTATGTCATAACCGACGACGACAATGCAACCTGAGATGAGTTTTTCCAAAATGGTTTGCTGACTGCCGCTAAAAGTCTGAAACAAACAAGCAGGACGATCGAGCTATATTTCATTAGAAATGAACATTAATTGGCGTGTAAATTGTTTTTGATAATAATAGTAAAACCTGTTGATTTTGTTGGAAAGTTACGTGTTGGGAAGAAATAAGAGAAAAATAATCAAGAATCTAATTAATTTCTCCTTGAAAGGCTTGGATATGTATTTTTTCCAGGAAGGCAGTCAAGTTCCTCCGTCAAGTATTCCGGCAAGTGTAATGTTGCATCATTAATTGTGTAAAAATCAAGAACAACGGCAAACCAAACCAGAACAGTGCCATTTATTAATTATTATTTGTTGAGATGACTTTTCTTTTTTAAGGAAAATAAAAAAAATAAATTTTTACGCATGAGATATATCTCATTGATCGAACTAAAATTTATATTTTTTAAAAGATTTTAATTTAAAATTAAGTTAAAAAATTTAAATCTCTATAGTGTTGAAAAATTAATTAATTTCTTATGTATCAAAAAATAATAATTATAAAAATGCTGATTTCTTAACATATATATTCTTTTATTTTCTGAATGATACTGTATGCATCATCGCAGGCGCAACCTCTTCTCTGTCGGCTATAAATTATTTACCATTTCTATTCCTTATGACGTTATAATATATATGTTGCTGGTGAAGCCTTAACCTACACTCAAACAAACAGACGCCCTTATTTTTGTCAACGGTTAGAATATCGCTGGCTTCCTCATCCCTTCCTTAAACCCCAACCACCCTTCTATATATTACTATTATTCAACCATCTTCTTCTTAATTTAACACTCAACAGACTGTTCTTTTTCTTCTTCTTCTCAAGCCCCCAACAGCTGAACCAAACCGCCAATGAGCCCCGCAAAGTCCAAAGCCACCATCAATGGCCACCGTCCGTCGCCATTGAAGATTTCCAAAGATTCCCATTTCATCCACAAATCCACCTCCTCTTCTTCCATAGTTTTGCCACAAGAAGCTCGTATGGTGCAGGAGCAGAAGCAGAGACAGCCGGTAATCATTTACGTGTATTCCCCAAAGATCATCCACACGCAGCCACGCGACTTCATGGCCTTGGTGCAGAAACTCACAGGTTTAAATTCCAAATACGATGATTCTGATGATGAAAATAAAACTACACCGTCACAGAAAAGAAATATTAAAGCCGACGGTTCATTATTAGAGGAGCAGGGTAACATCAAATCAGTTAAGGAGAATGACTCGTCTCCGGGGACTACAGACGAGAATTGTGGTCGGATAGATGGAAATCATAGCAGTGTAAATGTTGGCGATGTCATTGTTGGCTCTTCTCTTGTATCTCCAATTATGAACATGGCGAACCCTTTTTTCGCTGATATGCCTTTGTTTACCCCGAATTCGATGATGAACTTCTTTTGTTCTCCAAGGTCCATTGACAGATTTGAAGATTCTGCGTATGTGTCGTCAAACAATGCGTAGCTAAATCTCACCTTCTGTGCTTGACTTCTGAAAGGGCTTCCAGAATGTGTTGACGAAGAAATTTTAGCTACTTAACCATTAATTAGATTTGCAAATAATGAAATGCTTCTTGTTCTTTTTTTTTTTTTTGGGTTTGTATCTGTTTTTTTTCCTTTGGTAACATGAATCAACTAGTACTGATGGTCAGGCACCGAATGTGAATTGTAAGGTGATTCCATTTATTCTTTGTTCATTGAAGAGGAAAGTGCTTTTAATTTCTTTTGAATAGCAGAGTTCCCTTATTCATTATTTAGATTGCAAGGCGTGTTTGGTAACGTTAGTCAACATTTTAATTTAATTGGACGATTTCATCTCCCTGTCTTCTAGCTCCTTCCAAACAAACAGGCTTGTAGAGTATTAGATTCGTCCTCCTTTTTTTTTAAAAAAAAAAATAATAATAATCTTAGTAAAATTGCTGGCCAAAGTGGGCCTGTTCAATGCTAAAAAGTGACACGAAATATTTTGGCGAGATTTAAATAATTTTGAAAATTTTAGGGGGGTTTTTTTATATAGAACTGGTAGAAAATGTGAGCCATTTAAATAATTTAGTAGTATTTTTTTCATTAAAATCAAACATTTTAAATTTATATTGCATTACATGTAGATTAAATATATTAAGATATAAAGGAAGATTATTTTTTATTGGGTAATCTAAAATTAAAACAAAAAAAAAAGATGGTAGTAATTAGTTTGACATATCAATAATTTGGAAGTAATGAAGTAGTTATTTCACTAATAATCTATTAAAATAAGTGAAAAGAAATTATTTCTTTCGAATAAAGTCTCAATTCAGAGTTTTATAAATAAAAAATAAATGTTAAGAGAATTTTTTTATTATGAGATTTAATCTAATTTGATTTTTAATTAATTAAAATTTAATATGATTTTTTTGTACTAAAGGACTTAATACAATAAAAAATGAATAGTTATTCTTACGAGGGGTTTTGCCATTTTGGTGTGAGACTGAGTAGAATGCCTGCAATTCTGCAGTTAGCAAAAAGGAATTTTGGGCCTTGTTTGAGTTGCTCGTTGAAAAGTAATTTTTTACGGGGTAACCGTAAGTAATCAATTTTCCCGGTTGGATATGGGTTTAAAGCCACCCTGACCGACGAAAGTATGAACCATCTTGTACGGTCAGCCCACTTACATAAACATTCCTACAAAAGTATTGTGCTGCAGGCTCTTTTCTTAGGTAAATCTAGCCCTAGGAATGCTTCCTACCTCTGCAAACACGCTTGACTGTTCCTGTTTTTCTGGACCCTCGGATGTGCCACGAAGCAAGTAACTTCTAGTTTGGTATGGTTGAGCTTTTAATAGAAAATTTGTTGGAAAGTTATTGTTTTTGTAAATAAAAAAAATAAGAAAAAATATAAATAATGTTTTAATTTTATTAAAACTCAAATGAGAAACTTTTACAGAAACACCAATTCGATACTTTTGAAATTTGTAATGAAATAGATAAAATACTAATTTATGAAAAATTGTAATATTTTTCATAAATTATAATGTTTAGTATAACTAATAATTTTGAAATCTGAAAAAACTTCTCACCAAACTGTACCAAACATAACATAAAAAAGAGTCTTTTGTTTATGCAATTATCATTGAGAAATCAACTATCATGCTTGAAAATTCCGTTTTTATTATATTTCATATAAAAAATATTATACAATTTAAATTATATTAAATTATATAAGTTAAATCATTGAATAGAAACATATTTTTTGATATTAAAAATTATCTTTTATTTAATAATTTTTATTTTAAAATTCGGTATAATTGAATTATAAAATAAAATACTCATTTCATATATTATATTTAATTGACAATGTTGTTTGGTGAGATGCTGAGGTTAATAAGTAAATTAAAGCATCAAAATAAATAAGAGCTTTCTATCTTATGCTCTTAGACAAAAATTAAAAGTATAATAATATATTTTTTAATAATTACTTCACATAAAAAAATATTAATTTTGATATTAATTTTTATACCAATACTATTTATATGATTTTAATTTAGTGGTTAATAAATTAAAAATTAATTTTTATTTTTTAATATAAATTAATTACTAAAAATAGATTAATTATGTCATTAATATATATATATATATCTTAATAAATAAACAAATAAATAGAGTTCCAGTAAAAGCCGTGATGCTTGAACGCTACTACATAAAGTCAACCTTCATTTACGTGTTTGAAGATAAAAACATACTAATTTCATGGGAAAGTTCGTCCATAATGAGATGAATTCAGTTTGATGAACATAAAATAATTAATGTAAAGCTAACATTTGACCGCACACACACGAAAAAAGAGAGGAAAATAGGCCATTGGAATATAAGCTTGCTTTCAAATATATAACCTGGTATCAAAAAGAAAAAGTAAACTGATGTATTTTCTCCCAACAGATTTGGAATATATAAACCATTTTGACGTTTGACCTGGGTGCTTCGAATTCCAAATCACATTGCTACTTTAAAACTATGAAAACTTGCTTTTGCTTGGAAAGTCTAAAGTCTCAACATCAGGAAATTACTTGGAACTTTCAAATTATGTAGCACGTGAGAATTTTTTCAACTTGGTATAAACTAGAAACCAAATGAATTCGTGTGGGGATGCTCAGTGTTGTATTAGGTTGTGTTGTTTAATTAAAATTAATTATTTATAATAAATAAATAAATATTTATTTATATATAAATTTTATATATTATATTTATATAAAATATTAATTAATTATTTTTTATTTTTAATAATTAAAATAAATATCAATTATTAAAAATAAAAATAAATAATTAAAATTTTATATAAATATTATATATAATATTTATGCATAAATAAATCTTTACTTATAATAAATTTTCTTTTTTATATAATGTGTTGCATAATAAAAAAGTCTTGTATAGAATACTCCCAATCGAAGCCAATCCATCTTCCTTATTAATCTGATGGATTAACTTGGAAAATGCTCACAATTTCCTTGCTAATTACTATTTTCACCAGAAAGCAAGGGGCTCGGGTAAAACAAATCACAAGACACGCAACCAAATTGGGTAAATACAAGGCACGTAAGAAATAAATAATATTTACAAAGGCTTCTCCTTTGCCCAACATTATGACCATGTTTCCCAAATCATTGTTTTCCAAATTCCAACGACACAATCCAATCCTTTACCGCTTGACTGAGTCGTGTCATCAACTCGTTAACTTGACTCGTCGGAAACGATCACCGCATCTGTGTCCCACCAAGTGTCCAAGTTGGAGGATTCCGTTGCATTCCCTAACGGTGAGCTCACTTTCCTCATGTCACCGACGGTTAACTCTCCGGTAACGTCATCCTCCACGTACACCTTCTCCATCCTTCCGGCATTGACTGCGGCGATTTTCTCCGCCGGGCTCTTGGGCTGCCACTCCGCGAGGATGGCTGATGCCTGAGGCGGCAGACGCGTGTCCCAAGCGCTGAGCGAGACCTTCCCGGACAAATTGGCACCCGCAGACACGACAACCGCCGGGGATGATGAGTGTGAAACGGCCTGGACCCCACACTTATCGAGAGGAAAAGACGAGATTTTTGTCTCCTGGTTAAGATCGTAAAGATTGAAACCATCGGTTTCATCGCCGTCGTCAAAGTCCAACCCAAACCGCAACCCAAGATTATCCCAGAGCTTCACGACGCTCTTCCCGCCGGCCACGAGCTCCGACAATGAAAACAGATCTCCAATACTGCCGCATCGTCTCCGAAGAGTAAAAAGACGTTTCTGCCCCCGGTCGTCAATGACGTGAGATGATCCTCTCACCTGAAAATTCTCATCGACCCATCGCCAGTCCCGGGATGTGGATGCTGTATCCTTCTCCTGTTCATCATCGGATGACGAGTAGCATGAGGTGTCCGTCTCGGTGTCGAAATCAGTGTTCTGGAGGAGCACCGGTGAGGGCAGAGAACTGCGGTGCTTTAATCTCACAATCAAGATCTTGATTCTGTTGACAATGGTTGTGAAGGAGGCGAGCAGGGCAAGAATCAAAGCGCCCCATTTCCAAAAATTGTAACCCTGGTAGATTTTCTCAGTCCCAGGAAGAGCAAAAAGCTGGGAAACGAAGGACGGGTCGGGCAAAGAGTTTAACCCCACCTCTAAATCGCTTATCCTGTTAATCACCGAAATTTCCATTTCTCCGTGCTCAAAATGGGTCCGGAAACTCGAGAAAGAAATCGAATCAAATATCAAATAAAAAGGAGAGAAGAAACAGATTAACAAAGTACAGAGAGCAGAGGTTATCAGTTATGAAAATTTTGTCATGTGAACTGTAAAGATGAGAAACTGAAGAGGAGGTTTGAGCCGGTGGGTGGGTTGAGCTTTTAAAAAGGCCGAAACGAAAACGATAGTTGATAACAAAAAGGAAAAATAATTTAGATATAATTTTTTAAATAATTTTATATATTATTTAATTATTAATTTTTATTATTAAAATTTATATAACATTCTCTATCAATTTATTTAAAGACGCATAAATAAAAAATTACACAGAAGAGTTATCTGTAAATTATTATCTAAAAGAAAATTGATTTTGAAATGAATAATTTTTATTATTATTTTTTAATATAATTTGATATATTATAAATAATTAATTAATTATTTATATATAATTTATAATATTAAATGTATTTACTTTTTTAATGATATATATATAAATTATATCAAAATATAATATAATTGATACTTTATCTAAAAAATTAATGATGAATATATGGGACGTGGCAGATAACTACTGGTTTGTCTGGTAGAGATTTGAGGGCCACGTGGGAAAAGTCAGCGGACTTTGGGGGGAGTAATCTGTAAAATATAGATAGGAAGGATGAATCAGCAGAGCATATTCTGAGATGCAAAGATGCCCCCTTTCTCAAAGGGAAAACACGATAGAATAATGATTTTTGGGGTTAGCTGCTGGTGTGAGTAGTGGGGTCAAGGGAGAGAGCAAATATGGTCCGATCGTTTGTTTCTTTCTCCGATGCTACAATGGGAATACGTACGTGGTGCGAAGATGAGAGGCGGCTGCCATTAAAAAGAAAATTCAGAGACGGCTCCGGTTGTTTGTAACCACTCAGATTTTATCAGCTCATCAATGTGGTTTTTGTTGTTTCGTTGTTTTTAGAGACAGGTGCCATTGATTTGTGTTGTGTTTGATTGGTGGTGGTGGTGGTGGTCCCCCTGGCCCTTGGCCTTTTGCCTTTTGCCTTTTGCCTTTTGCCTTTTGCACCACCAATTAACTGCTACGCCGTGGAAAGACACGTTGCCGTGTTAGCGGTGACATCACTGAAACTGAGCAAACGGGAAGCGCCAAGTGTGTTTGTGGATTCGAGCGTGGTGTGTGGGAAATTCTCACGTTGAATTTATAATAAACGAATATATAAAATTATAAATTAA